ATATATATATTATATATATATATAAAATCGAGAGAAATACAACAAAAATCAAAGAGGTGATTTTTTAGGTAAAATCAATGAAAATATTAATTATTTATTTTAGAATATTTATTTATTTTTACATGGAAATATAATGAATTATTTATGTATTATTAAAGAAATTTTTAATTATAGCAAGGAACATTAAAGTATGACATGAAAAAACTGGCATGCTTTTATAGATTATTATGACATGATTTTTATTTTTTTAAGGAAATATTTACAGTGATAAAAAAACTTGCATGATTTAGTACTTATAAAATTATTATATGCACGTAATTTTAGTCTTTGCTATTAAATTGATGTGTATTTTTGAATGATTATTTTAGAGATATGTGTAAAATATTATAAAAAGTTCTTCGAAAAAAAACTCATATATATATATATATATATATATATATATATATATATATATATATATATATATATATATATATATATATAATATATATAATCGAGAGAAATACAACAAAAATCAAAGAGGTGATTTTTTAGGTAAAATCAATGAAATATTAATGATTTATTTAGAATATTTATTTATTTTTATATGGAAATATAATGAATTATTTATGTATTATTAAAGAAATTTTTAATTATAGCAAGGAACATTAAAGTATGACATGAGAAACTGGCATGCTTTTATAGATTATTATGACATGTTTTTTTATTTTTTTAAGGAAATATTCAGTGATAAAAAAACTTGTATGATTTAGTCCTTATAAAATTATTATATGCATTTAAATCAATATGTATTTTTAAATGATTATTTTACAGATATGTGTAGAATATTATAAAAAATTCTTCGAAAAAAAAACTCAAATTTAATTTTTAAATTGAGATTTTAATTACTTTTATCAATATCTTTTGAAATTTAAAAAATTCATATTTAATTCTTCTCGTATTAAAAAATTTTAAAATTTGATAAATAAATATTTTATAGTATTCTAAACACTTATGAAAAAAATTATTCAAAATATAAAAATTCAAGGATAATTAAACAGTTTTCAAAATTTTAAAAAATAACAGAAATTAAAACTGTCTGAATAAAATTTCTGTAGAGACTAAAACATGTCTTTTTTTAATAGGAACTACAAATAAAATTTAAGATATTTATAAGGATCAAAACATATTTAATCTCATATAAATTTAAGGGAGAGTTTATTCAAAAAAGGTGTTTGGTCTAATGGTAATGATGTCCATTCTTAGAAGGTGAATATATATATATATATATATATATATATATATATTATATATATATATATATATATATATATATATATATATATATATATATATATATATATATAATGATATATATATATATATATATATATATATATATATATATATATATATATATATATATATATATAGTATATATATATATATATATATATATATATATATATATATATATATATTAAAATACTGAAATAATATTACTTAAATACATATGAAAAAAATAATAGGATTCGTTTAATGGGTCTAGGACTAATATGTTTAATGGGCTTAGGACTAATATTACATATTACTTTTTACATCTATATTTTACAAGACTATCTAATCATTATTAACTTGCAAGTAAGTTGATTGAATCTTTTTAATAGTAAATTTTTTGTTAAGACATTTATCAACTAATATCCTGGAGGAATGTAGGTTGTAGTTATCACTTATTATCTAGTTTTTTTTTTTGATGAAATGATGGTCAATCTCAATGTTTTGTTTTGTCGTGATGAACATGATTATGTCAACACTAATAGCTGGTTTATTATCGCAAAACAACTTTATATGATCTTCACATTGCACTTTCAAATATTCCAACACCTGTTTCATCCATAATAACTCAAAAATTTCTTGTGAGATAGCTCTAAATTCTGCTTCAGTGCTTGATCGGGCAACTACACCTATGTTTTCCCCATGAGATGGAGGATGAGTGAAGAATGACAAAGTTTCATGAAAGTGACATTTTTTTTAGACAAAAAATTTCCTACTAGGAAGATGTTAACATTTGTACCCTCTTTGCTAGGTGTATAAATGCAAAAATATACATATGACAGCATGAGGATCCAACTTGTTGCGATATTTTTTATGAACATGAGCAAACACATCACATCCAAATACACGAGAATCAAGGTTTTGTAATATGAGAATATAGGGAAAACGTGAAAGCATAATTTTAATAGGAATAAAATTACATAAGACTCTATATGGGGCATGGTTAATCAAGTAGGTAGTAGTAATAACTACCTCTCTCCAATAAGAGTTGGAAACAAACATTTGAATAAAGGATATCGATCAACTTCAACTAAATGACGATTTTTCTTTCTAAAACACCATTTTGTCGAGGGGTGTCAATGTTGGAAAAGTGACTTCAAGCATAAGAGGGGAATGTGGGTGAATTATGGTAATCGAAAATTCATGATTAATTTTAAACATTTCTCGATTAGATTATATTAGTAATTTTTAGGTGAGTAATCACAGCGGAAATAAAATGTTAAAAATAAATTGCAGAAAATAAAAGGATAGGGTTAGAAATATTAGACTACATGTTTATACAGGTTTGGATGAACATTGACCTAGCCTTATCCCCAGAGATTTTCAGAAGTAATGGCATATTTGAGCTTCTGACCCGGTGGAGAGAGGGTTGGCCAACAATATAAACACTCCAATTCTAAAGTCAGTAGACGAGGAAGAAGAGTAAATTGAAATTGAGTTTGAAACTTGTTTGAACTGACGCCTTCTTTGTAAATATTAGATATGGAATAAAAACATGTTATTTAGTTAGGAGTAAGTTGTGGGGAGTCATTGGATGCAGTTGAGGCTTGGATCTCATCTGCTTGCTATCAGGATGGTTCATGCG